CAAACACAGGAATTGATAGAATGAAAATCATAAATGCAGTAGCGAAATCTGTACCACAACCTTATTACTAATCTTTGTGCCATAGCTACATACAAAGCTCTTTTAAATATGCAGAGAAGAAAAGACCTCACAAACAGCATGTTCTAGTGAAAAGACCTCACAACCAACAGCAACATGTTCTAGTTGAAAGTGACAATGAGTTGTACTCACCAAATCTACAATTTGCATTTCATAGCTGCGAGAACCAGTGGTCTGATGGAACTGCACTTTGCTTCTGTTCTCTCTATTCTTCTCACAAGTCACCTACAGCAATACGGTTCTGTTGCTAAGCACAAATGACATCAAACATGATGAAATTGGAAAAGTTGGATGATCTTACCATTTTTTGCTCATTTTTCCAATGTTCCACAAGTTTATCCCATTGCTCATTAGTCATTGTGTCCACAGGAGATGTTTTGGGCACCAGATGTAGTGGCAAAGCATCAAAATACCTCTTTTTTAGCTTGTAGCGCTGCTGGCGAACAGCTTTCTTCAGCATAGCCGCACATGCTTTTTTCATAGGTAATGAATCTGCATCCGTATGAAACTTTGACTGGTGACAGTAAACAACATTGCCAATTGTTATTGAATGCACAATCTTAATGTTGCAAATAAACAGTGGAAAGGGGCAAGTTTGAACACTTACAACAACTCTCGATATGTACGCGTCGATCATCTTAGGATACTTCTTGTATTCCTTCCAATGTGGAAATATTGGAACAATTTGTCTTACTGCAATGTTGCACTCAGTTGCAAATTTTGCAGCGATCATCACTGAGTTTGGTCTTCTCTTCCCTGGCTCAATAACCAAAGGAAGTCTCTTCTTCCTCGAGCGAGTCATCTGAACAAGTTCCCTCCCAATACTAGGTCCCCTCGTCCTGTTCTCCTCATCAAATAGGTCATCTACGAAGGAGTTGTGTTAGTATACTGCTGTCCTATGTTGGGTATGGAATTACAATGTGCAAGACTTAGAAATACACACCTTCAGCGATGTTGGCAACCTGTGTTTGTCCATTTTCATTGACATCATTCATTGTGGCGCCATTTGGAGTGTGTCCATCCAGGTTCAGCTCAGTGCGTACATGCTGATCTCCAGCCAGGCAGCCATTTTGCTCACCTGCATCAGCTACAATGCAATATAGAGTTAGTAATAGTACTTTGGAATGTTGTCTCTAAATTTGAGTTCGATTTGTTACAATAATGTAGTCAGTTAACCTTCCTCTGTAGCCTGATTAGGGATTTCAGCTTGATTATTCATTGCATTAACATCAGCTGGACGATTCTTCATTCCCCTTGTGACAACACTAGATTGCATCCCAGGTTGTTCCTTCTTAGCACCTGTCTTCCTCTTCTTTGTTGTTGTCTTCTTCTGCAAAGAACCAATCAAACATACAGAATGGGAGATAAACATTAGATGCAATTAGCAAGCAAAGCACATATTAAGATTTGACACTATGGAATAACTAGCACCTTAGATGATAAAGTAGGAGGTTCCAGGTCATCATCACTTAGATGGGCATCACTGTTAGCCTCATCCTCACCATTGTACTCCGAACCAGAGTCTTCTCTGTCCTGCTGCCGCCGTTTTTCTGGGGAAATAGTAGTGTTCTCACACAGTTGAGCTAACACAGGAAGTCCTAGTTTCTGCATGTATGCGTTGTTGCGCATACACTTTCTCATCCGTAGGAGTAAATAAGGATTGATCGGAGCTTCTGCAATGAGAAGGAACAAAGAGTGCAGATGTCAGCATGTTATAGTGAAAAGACCTCACTTGTAAACTAATTTATATTGTGAGGAGCATGCAGATTATCTTTCCTACCAGGACCCTCCATTACTAATCTCACACCGACAATTCCCAAACTTTTCAAGCACATCCACAATTCCACATAATAAACCAAGAGGAGAAAATACTAGTGAGGTAACCCAGCAAACATCCCTCCCCTGATTTCCCCCAATTTTCGCTAATGTACAGAAAGAGTTTAGCCAGTGGTGAACCATTTCCTATATGTCCATCACCTGCCCCAATAGCACTCTGACTCTACAGCAATGTACGTCACCGAAACACGGAGAAGAGGAGGGACAGCTCCATCTCATGGGGCACATGCGACCACATCCCCCTCCGCCAAAATTAGATCGCCCAAAATAGAAGGTGCAGGAGAGACATTCACCTTCAACATGCTCTCCCCGCCGTGGCCCCTTCGCTGGTTTCCTGCCCCTCTTCTTCGGCGACATCGGTGGTGCCTGCGGGATGGTGGCGGTCGCGCTCGACGCTCTCATCACCTTCACCATCGAGGCCGCGCTTGTAGGCTGCTGGACGGCGGAGCGGGATGGTGAAGCGGCGTTGGCTGGGCGAATTGGAGGATTTGGGGGGATTTGGTGGCGCCGTTGCCTGCGAGACGGCGGAGCCAGATTATATATGGCGCTGCAATATTACCAAAATATCCCCACCGTTTCATTTGCGGGATGCACGGATGGCGGGGCATAATGGTAAATTCGTAGCCAAATATTGGAGGTGGGAAGGCCGCTCGCCACGAAATTTTCAGGGCGCGTGCGTAATTTTTCCAGGGCGCGCGCCTCTGTTCAGGGTGCCTCTTTTTTTTCTTCTGTTATTTTTTTCTTAGCTATCGAAATAATAAAATAGTGCCAGATAATAACCAAATTTTGAATATTGTGGACCTACTTGTTTAGGTGATAACCAAAATTTGGATTACGATGTACTTACTTGTTTAGGGAATAACCAAAATTTTAAAGTTTAGCTATCAAATTGCTTAGGACATGTTAAGCCCAATAATCTATATTAGTCCGAAGGTGATCTATAATAGAACATGTTTTAAAGTTTAGCTGTCAAAAATTGTTTTGGTGGTGATTATATATAGTAAGTACCAAATAACTTCTACTAACCACAGAGGTTCTCTATGTATGTAGATCAATCAACACCATCGTACTATGTATGTATAGTACTCCTGGAACATACTCTACATCGATCACCCACATTTCTTGCTTAGTAATCGTTGTGGTAGTTGTTGACAATAGAGATGGCGACGATATCCCACCCATGATGAAACGAAGAAGAAAAAACTTGATGTCGCTCAATCTCTCGATTTAGTCATATCATTTAGCGGAAAAAGGTGGTTGGATGCCTATAAGTAGGGATGAAAACGGATCGGATACTAACGGATAACTAGTGTTTGATAAAACTTTCTCAAATGGGAAAATGAGCTATGTAACAATTGTATATCTTGCTGAGATGATCAAACTTGGTATTCAGAGTTTTCTCATCTGAGGTCATTTAGTGTCTCATTTGAGCAAGTTTGACCAAGTCAAATTTGGTCAAATGAAAAAACAACACTTTGACTCTAGTATTATGAACTCTAAATGACTTCAAATTGAAAAGTTTTGAATACCAAGTTTGTTCAACTCATCAAGATCTACAATTATTGTTTTGGTCAACTTTCCATTTGAGATAGTTTGGATGGTTCAAATTTGTGATTTTTAAATTTCGATGCTTACAAACTAGTTTTCGGAACCCTAGATTGTCTCAAATTGAAAAGTTTTGAATATCAAGTTTGTTCATCTCATCAAGATCTACAATCCTTATATAGGCTATTTTTTCATTTGAGAAAGTTTGAACAAAATGTAGTTCAAATTTCACAAGTGTGTGACATAGTTTCAGAAAGTCTATATGAGATTCAAGAATTTGTGACTAGTGTTTGATAAAACTTTCTCAAATGGGGAAATGAGCTATGTAACAATTGTATATCTTGCTGAGATGATCAAACTTGGGATTCAGAGTTTTTTCATCTGAGGTCATTTAGTGTCTCATTTGAGCAAGTTTGACCAAGTCAAATTTGGTCAAATGAAAAAACAACACTTTTTGAGAAAGTTTGGACGGTTTAAATTTTGAAGCACTAAATGATTTCAAACGAAAAAGTTGTAAACAACAAAGTTTCATAACTTTTTGAGATCTACAATTTTTATTTTGATCATTTCTCCATCCAAGGTCGTTTGAATAATATCCGGATAATATCCGTTTTTAAATATCCGGATATATCCGATACTTAACCGGATTATCCGATATCTGCCGGATATCGATGATATTACATCCGTATTTGATATCCGCCTAAGATATCCGTTTTAGTATCCGTATCCGAAAAAAATTACGGATATCCGAGTAACTATCCGAGATAGGTGTTCATATTTGTTCGATCGAATCAGACGGTCGAATAAATATCCGTACTGCTTTTCATCCATACCTATAAGACATAAGGCATTGTACAACAAAAAAGAGATGGGAGATCACGCGTTGTTGAGTGAAGAAGCAACACAAGCTTTATGCAAGAGTATGACTTTCTTCAAAGAGGACATTTGTCATTCATGTTGGATGAAGAATCTATATTAACCTGTTGCCGTTCATGTCTAGTAATTGAATAAGATGTTTTACTTCGATAATCAACTCCATTTCAAAAGTTGATGGTTTCATAAGTGTTCGACTCAAACTTATCCCGCTTAGTGTGATTTGGTCTTGAGTACCAAATGATTTGTACCATTCCTAGAGGTTCATCTCTAGATAGGTACCTAGATCAATCGACTCAAGCGTGTTATGGCACATGATGGTGATTTTGTGGTGACTACCCATTGATGTCTAGTAATGCTTCAAGAAACTACCTAGTAATCATATAAGATGTTCTACATCGATCAACTCCATTCAATATATGATGAGTACATAAGAAGAATATATGACACGAAAGAAAAAATCTTGACAAGATTAGTTTTGAATTCCTCCGTAGACACGGTCTTCATAGACCAAAGGCATATAAGGAAAGGTCCACCGATCGGTCTTGGGAGCACACGCGAATAGAATTGGGAGCACTACCCGGTGCCAGCGGTCAAACAGATACTCTTTGGAGAAGGCATCCACCTTCAACCATTTAATATGTAGTTCGGACATGACAAATGCTAAACTACTCATCATCGCTATCAACCTCAACAGGGACAGCTTCTTCTTCACTCAAGTACTCCATCAGTGTGTCATCCTCTACCTCGTCACCCTCATCTTCACTAGTAGTCTTTGATTCATTTTCCTTTCTAAGTCGAGCAACCTCAGCAGCATCAACAAGAAGGCCAGCCTCATCAACTCTGTTCAAAGGCATGTCAGGCAAGATCTCAGAAACTTCTGGTCTTCTGCCAGTGTCCACAGCACATGTCTGCTCTTGATAGGGTGCAGCAGTGGATACGACACCATCTATTTCAGAAACATTGTACAAATGACGATGCTTAAATGTCTGGACAATCCGCCAATTTGTTCCATTCTTAATATCTGGCAAATAAAAAACCTGTGTAGCTTGAGTTGCCAAAATAAAACAGTCTTTCTTGTACCACAGGCTGCCAATATTGATGCTTTTACAAAACCCATCATCCCTTACTGCAGTATGCTTACCATCCAATTTGTACCAGTCACATCTAAAAAGAACAACAGTTCTTTTTGTACCACCACCCTTGGCGTGGTACTCTAACTCAATAATCTCTTTCAATGTACCATAAAAATCAATCATCTCACTTCTGTATGAGCTTGCACAGGCCACCCCGGAGTTTTGTGTCTTCTTGTTTTTGTCACGCTCGACGGTGCAGTACCGCACACCATTGACAACACATGTGGAGTATGATCTAACTCTAAGGTCAGGGCCACAAGCTAGGGCAAATATATCATCATCTACCTCTTCTGATGCATTCAACCTCCACATCTGCAAAAAGGAATGTCTCAGCGTCAAAATAGTTATCTACAAGATAACTAATAATTTAAGATAAGAATAAGATAGATACTAACATAATTCCTGAACCAACTCGCAAATCCATGCTCTGTCCTTCTTCCAAGGTCTGCAGCCTGCACCCCTACTTCTGTCAATTCATCTTCAAACTTTCTGTAACTCAAATATATAAAAAAACAGTAAGTTGCTAATCTGAAAATAATTAAGAAACAAATGTAATATACAAAATAGAGAATATTTTAGAACATACTTTATGTACTTCTCAGCCTGATCACAATTATGGAGAACATACCAAGCCAACTTATCAAGTTCCTCGGAGTATGAAAGATCAAATGCACCAATAAGATTAACACCATGCCCAAAAACATCAACAGTATAGGCTGATTGATCTGAAAATCCAACATTTCTTAGGAGTCGATTAAACCTTGTCTCTACATCATCCATATATCTCGAGCAAAATGTGAGGGCTTCATTTGCCACATAAGCCTCTGCAATTGAGCCTTCTGGGCGTGCCTTGTTCCTAACTGACCTTTTCAATGTATACAAGCGCCGTTCAATGGGGTACATCCACCCAAACTGCACAGGTCCACGGACCATGGCCTCATCAGGCAAGTGGACAGCAAGGTGAACCATGACATCAAAAAAAGCAGGGGGGAAGATTTTCTCAAGCTTGCACAATATGACTGGTATTTCAGTCTTCATTCGAGCCAAGATATCTTTGTTCAGTTTTTGGCTGCACAATTCCCTAAAAAATTTGCCGAACTCAGCAAGTGTTTGATATATATCATCATCCAACAGCCCTCTCAGCCCAGCTGGTATAATCCTTTGCAACAGAATGTGGCAGTCATGAGTTTTCAGGCCTTGCCACTTGATTGAGTCAGGATTTAAGCATCTTTGTATATTTGAAGCATATCCATCTGGAAACTTGGCCTCCTGCAAGAAATTACAAAATTGAGTCTTCTTTGACTTGGACAACGTATATCGAGCTTTGGGCATGTCATATGAATCTCCACTATGCTGTAATTGCAACTCCTTTCTAATTTTCAAATCAGCCAGATCAAGCCTTGCATTAACTGTGTTCTTTGACTTCCCTTTTATGTCCAGAATGGTACCAAGGAGGCTTTCACACACATTTTTTTCAATATGCATGACATCCAGATTGTGTCTAAGCTTTAGAGTTGGCCAATATGGTAAGTCCCACAAACAATTCCTTCTGCCCCAAATTGGCACACAATTGCCTGAACGTTTCCTTTTCTGTCCTACTCTGACATCACTAACCTTTTCCAATTCTTCTAGCAGCTCTTCTGTGGTGAAACTAGTTGGCTTCGCACTGCTATCATGGAGGGATGCAAATTCATTGGCCCTGCGCAAACGATGACCACTCGGAAGGAAACGACAGTGCCCAATATAACATAGCTTGCTCCTTATGGCATATGACAGAGGATTTTTGTCACAATGGAGACAAGCAAAATAACCACTTATGGTACGGCCTGATAGGGTACTTAGTGCTGGATAATCATGAATGCACCACAACACTGCAGCACGAAGCTTAAAATCTTTTCGGTGATAGCATCAAGAGTATCCACACCCTTCCATAGCTCAAGTAATTCTTCTACAAGAGGCTGCAAGAAAACATCAAGGGCCTTCCCCGGTGAACGAGGACCAGGAATCAACAAAGCCATCATGAAATTAGATTCATCCATGCATGCCCAAGGTGGTAAGTTGTATGGAATCACAAAAACAGGCCACATGCTATAAGATGAACTCATGTTGCTAAAAGGGTTGAAACCATCTGTGGCAAGTCCAAGTCTTATGTTCCGTGCATCTTTAGCAAAATCAGGCCAGCGGTTGTCAAAATCTTCCCATGCCTTTCCATCTGCAGGATGGGTCATTTCCTTCTCATTGTGTTTCCTCTTCAACTTATGCCACTGTGCTTCCTCCGATCTTTTCTTCGAAACAAACATCCTTTGCAGCCTGGGGACCAATGGAAAATGCCGCAATACTTTTGCTGGAACCTTCTTTCTCTCATGATCTTTCCATCTTGATGCCCCACAAACTGGACAACTATCCTTTTTTTTATTTTCCTTTCTAAATAGCACACAATTGTTGGGGCACACATGAATTGATTCATAACCAAGTCCTAACTCACGTAGCATTTTCTTTGCTTCGTCATATGATTTTGGAATAGTATTGAACTGTGGGAAAGCTTCTGACAAGATCTTCATAATTGCAGAAAATGCTGAGTTAGTGATCCTATAGTATGACTTCACATGGAGCATCTTGATTACAAATGTGAACCTTGTAAAATTCATACAACCAGGATATAGCTCACGCTTAGCATCTTCAATCAGCTGTTTGAAATGTGATGCAGCACCCTCATTTCCATCTTCAGGTCTAGCCTCATTTCTATGTTGTTCAGACCTGACGAGTTCCCCTAACATCTCTTCAAGTCCACAACCATCATTGGTGTGCTCAGGTACATAAGAATCAACATTTGCATCCTCAACTACTTCTAGTTCCTCCAAAACATGAATATTTCTGTCCTCTCCATGATCTATCCACCTGGTATATGTGCTGGACATGCCATTGAGCAGTAGGTGCCTCTCCACTTCATTTTGCTCTAAAGATTTATAGTTCAGACAGCTTTCACATGGGCACAAAATCTTCTCAGACTCAGAGAACCTCTCTTTGACAAAGTTCATGAAAGACCGGACACCACAAATATACTGAGGGGTAAACAGAGCACCATGAATCCAACGTCTATCCATCTACATAAAAAATTGCAGAAAATAAATAGATCAATCTAACCTAGAATTGCAGCCACTTCATCAACTAACAAAGTACAACACTAATTTAAACTGCGTATCTAAATCCGTACCAATCGAAATCAGTTGAGGCAAGATCTCTGGAGGTGGGCGGCGATGGATCCCCTGCAGGGGGGCTTGACGGAGCCGCTGCCGTGGCTGCTTCTCGGTATCGCCTTCACCGCGGCCACCGCGACACCGCTGACAGCAACCGGGACGACCGGCGTGGATAGGGGCAGCCGGCGCGGACAGGGACCACAAGGCTGGCACTGACAGCGGCGGCTGGCGAGGACAGGGGCAGCCCACGCGGAGAGGGATGGCCGGCGAGGACAGGGGCGGCGGGTGGTGCGCGCCCGGTGGCCGGCGTGGATAGGGGTGACGCGCACCCGGCGGCCGGCGAGGACAGGGTCGTGGTCTGGACACGGTCGCGTGGTCTGGAGACCTGGACACGGTCTCTAATTTGTTTCAGAACTATCCTAATTTGTTTGCCACCGGCCAAAAGAATAAACATATCACTAGTATACACACATGAATCAGTATCCATGTGGTTAGGTCCTGCTGTTGTGATCGACAGGTCCAAGGTTCAATTCCTAGCAGCGGCATTTTTTTTCACATTTACCTTCCTCCCACCTTCCCTATTTACATCTCTCACCGACAGGTAGGTCCCACCATCCCCCCTGCCATTCAGCATGACATGTAGGAACGATGTGGACGCTCACATCACAATGACATGTTGGATGTTGTATCTGTGACCTTCCAATAAATCCGTCATGGATGACTAAAATGATCCGTGACGTCCAGTTATGACGATAATTTAACCAATCGTCATACATCTATCACCTTGGATTTGGACCGTCACAGATGACTATATTCTGTGATGATTTCTTAGAAGGTCACAATTAAACCGTCACGTAAAGCCAAATTTCTTGTAGTGAACCATATGTCAATGTTCTCGTTGCAAGAACCTGAAAGCCCACCGAGACAGCGATGTGCAAACTCATTTGATCATGTATGGTTTCGTCGAGGGCTACACAGTCTGGACATTTCACGGCGAAAGAGTTGGTGCAAGTGGCGGTGCATCTGGAGTGAACTCTTCGACACCGACGACGACAGCACCACCGGTGAATAAAGATCCTTTAGGAGCACCCGGCTCCTCATCATCTTCAGCAGCAGCTGCGCCAGCTGACAGTGACAACAGTTGTCGTGATTACATCACGGTGGATGATCTAATACAAGACATGTCCGACAAAGCCGGCGACGGTGGGGATGGTCAGGATACTGTGAGCCAACCCGAGGATGTACAGCTTGTTGAAGATCTAGTCAAACACTTCGATGAAGATGACGTTGTGTTGGGTTGCCCAAAGTGGTTGGAGAATTTTAGAGAGTTGAAGCAGGCGGCAGTTGATCCTCTCTATAAGGACGGCGGCGATTGTCCGAAGGAGTGCACGGCGCTCCGTTTTAACCTCCATATGTTGATGTTGAAGGCTCGTCATGGTTGGTCTGACACTAGCTTCAATGAGTTGTTAAGCTACCTTGCCACCACGTACCCAACGGCTAACAAGGTGCCCGCCAATACTTATCGGGCCAAGAAGCTGATCCGGCCAGTGGCGATGAAGCTTAGAAAGTTTGATGCATGCCCTAACCACTGCATCCTGTATCGGGGCAATGAGTATGAGAATTTGACGAGTTGTCCGCACTGTGGCTTTAGTCGGTACAAGAAAAATGCTGGTTGTCGCGTGGATGCAGAAGACGAGGGAGGCTTGCGGAGTGGTCGGAAGAAGAACAAGAAGGGGGCAAAGAAGAGCAGTGCGGCCAAACAGATCTCGGCTCAGCAGGACGATGAAGAAGAGGGTTACACGCACAGAAAAAGTCCAGCACTGTCGGTGTGGTACCTGCCCATGACCGATCGCCTACGTGCAATATTCGGGAACCCGGACGATGCCAAGCTCATGTCCTGGCATGCATCAGCTGACCGCCTGAAAGACGATGGCAAGCTACGGCACCCATCCGATGGCAAGCAGTGGAAGGATTTCGACGAGGCCTATCCGAAGTTTGGCAAGGAGCCTAGGCATGTTAGGTTCGCGCTGAGTACCGACGGGATGAACCCGTTCGGTGAGCTTAGCAGCTCGCACAGCACTTGGCCCGTCGTGCTCACCATGTACAACCTACCTCCCCATCTATGTCAGAAGCGTAGGTACCTTATGCTGACCATGCTTATCTCCGGACCGAAGCAGCCCGGCAACGATATAGATGTGTTCCTGGAGCCGTTCATGGAGGAAATGAAGATACTATTTGATGTTGGGGTCCAGATGATGGATGCATCCCGCAAGGAGAAGTTCACACTAAAAGCAATCATCTTTGTCACCATCACCGATTACCGGTCTCTTCTCACCGCCGGGCAGATCAAAGGAAAAACCGGCTGCGTAATTTGCATCGACGAGACCTGCTACACTTACCTTAAGGGATCCAATAAGATGGTGTACACGAGGCACGAGCGGTTCCTCGCCAAAAATCACAGGTATAGAAGAAGTATTATGAACAAATACTTTGACAATCAGGACGAGCCGCAGCATGATCAAACGACGCAGACTAGTTGGGGGACAAAGGTGTATGAGATGGTCAAGGACATGGATCAGGTGGAGTTTGGAAAGAAGAAGAAGCCACCAAGAGGGGCACAAGCAAATAAGGAAGCGAAAGCGGACCAGACGGAGGAAGTCCCCGCCGCCGTTCCTTTCAAGAAGAAGTCAATTTTCTTCAAGTACACATCGTGATTGGAAACTTGAATACACCCCATGCCATCGATTGCATGCACCGGGAGAAAAATGTCTTTGAAAGCACTATCGGTGTCTGCTGGATATCAAGGGCAAGATAAAGGATGGTATCAAGTCACGGACGGAT